ATATATACATATATATTCTATACAATATAAAAAGAAGCCTGTCGCACTTCTGAGGTGTTATTGAAGCCTGGGTTGTGGTGTTCAGGTCGGGCGAGGTGGCTGGCCAATCAAGCAAAGTAATAGTATGGTCAGCAGATAATTTGGTAGTAGTTTCGGCACTGTGCCAGGTGATAAGAAATTGGCATCTCCACAAAGCCCGCATGCTCTAAAATCACTTGGTAGACAGCAGTGTTGACTTTGGACCTGATAAAACACAGCAGTCCATCTGCCAGCACCTGCACCAGCAGATCACATGTCACTCTAACTCAGGCGTGTCAAACTCAAATACACAGTGGGCCAAAATTCAAAACTGGAACAAGGTCGCGGGCTAACATTAATATTTATTGGAAAAAAAAATCTTCCTCCAGATTTAAGAATGAATCTCTTCTAATGGACTCAAACAAGTTTTGCTGAAAAACAGAATATGGAACAAGGAAAGCTTAATACTAAACAATATATATATTAGTTGTATAATACCAGTAGGCCAGCTCTAATAATAATTTGGTATGGCTCGCGGGCCAGAGTTTGACACCTATGCTTTAACTCATCACTGACTTCACCGTAGACTTCAAACACCTTGGATTCTGCTCTTTGCTCTTCCTCCAGACTTTAAGAACTTGATTTCCTAAAATACTGAACTTACTTTCATCTGAAAATAAGAATGTGTCACAGAACCTTTGGTTTAGGAGTGTCTTGATATAAGGGGTGAAACAGTTGTTTGTTGGCTCTGACAACATGCAGATGTTAGTAGGTGTACAACAATCACCATCACACAAACGTTCATGCTATTAGCAACAACATTTGCTAAAAGCCATTAAAGAAAAAAAAAAAGCAGATCTGAAAGGAACACAATTAGTTTTGCAGGTTTGATGGATTTACATTTTGACATAATGGTGGTAGATAATTAGTAAAGAGGAAACTCTCAGCAGATCCGAACGTATGGTTGTGTGTTTTTTTGGGGGGGGGTTTGACTGCAGGTTGGGGATCCAACCTACCTAGGGGGGGGGGTGGGGGGGGGGGGTGTTGGGCTTAATCAGGTCAGTTAGTTATAACCTTTAAAAAGAAGCACCCTTTACCTCTAAATTTGGTTGAAATGTGTGATGGAAAATTTTTGTTTCACCTCATCTAACCTCTGCGTACTATTGATATGCAATTGTAAATTTCTTGTATAACGAAAGAGTGTATGAAGACGGGAAAACAAATGACTTTAAGATTTGCTCAAGGCCATGATACACTTCATTATCAAGCTGGTGCCTAGATGATGGCGAGGATTTCACTCTGAACCACTGAATAGACAAAGATTGTATCCGCACAACGGCTTTAAAGGAGCTGTTATTATTTTACCTGTTGGTCAACGCTGGTACAAACCCTGTTTGCATTGTATTGATCCCTTTGCAAGGGTTTAACTTTCTTTCAATAAATCTCAGAAAATCTGTTTGGTTTCAATGCTTAAATTATTTTTCCGCAACAAAAGAGAAGAAGTGATTCATGATTTTTTTTTCTCAAAAAAGAGCTTGGCATTTTTACTAAATTAAATAAATAAAATCTTATCCATACATCCATCCATTCGCTTCCGCTTATCCTTTTCAGGGTCGTGGGGGGCAGTGGAGCTTATCCCAGCTGTCTTAGGGCGAGAGGCAGGGTACACTCTGGACAGGTTGCCAGTCTATCGCAGGGCTAACACACAGACACATTCACACCTCTTTTCAATTTAGAGTTTCAAATTAACCTGTCCCCACTAAATAAAATCTTATTTGGTTGTGAAATGTTAGAATGTGGACATATAATGTCGACTAGCCCTGAAAGTCATTTTTTAAACAATAACAAATTTAGTTTTATAAATCTCATGTCATTATGCGCTTCTGTCACTGGAAACAACATTAGCAGGGCAGCGGGCCTGATGGCAAGAATGGCCTAAGCTCTAATCTCCTGTTTGTTTGATATTTATATTTTATTCCTACATAGTTGCCGTAGAGCACCCACAATTTGGTTTTAAATGTACAATGAAAATAAAAGACTATTCTCTTCTCTTCTATTGTTGGCATAGTAGAACTGTTGATAAAATACACCGTTTTATTCTTTAATAGAATTTAAGATATGTTTTCTAGACTATTTTTGAACGAAACTGATGAAGACAGCATTCAGGTTTTACTTTTTTTTTTACCAAATCTCAGTGTTGTTTAGAATTCTCCAAAGTGATCTGTAATATCTTCTCAACAATATTTGCTGGGTAGGAAAGTTAGTGGACCAACAAAGTCATAAAAGTCATTAAAGTAAATGGAAATCCACAGAGAAATTGTTGAGATATTTCAGTCCAGACTAAAGTAATAGAGTGACCAACCAAGCATCCCTTGAGCCACTCTTCTAGCATGTCTAACAAGTACATGCAGCTATTCCTTAATAGTATGGATTTTCTTCTACAGCAACAAATGACTCATTGCCTGAAAAGCAGGACAAGTTGACATAATCCCCGAAGACTGCAGGCTTCAGCCTTTTATAGCTCATGGACTGCTCTTGCAACTTTACAGAGCAGCCAAAAGACACACTATGTTTCCTGGAGGCCCCCAGATGTGAACATCTTAGAGTGTATAAAAGCAAACACCTAACAACAAACATGTGCAAACAGATCTGTGAAAGTGCCACAGAAAAAGATGAGGCTCACAATGGGTTACAGTGCCTAAACACGAGTGAAGCGCACATACACACCTGCACACACCTTGTCTAACTTAAAATTCCTGTTTTCCTCCTGCCTGTGCTGTCAAGGGTAATAAAACTAACTTACAACTGCGTTCTCCCACAACACGGCCTGGAAGCAGAACTCCTCCCACCCCCTTAACTTCTTCATTTAAATGTGCATTTTGAAGAACAAGCGCTTTTCACATCTCCAAAGGATGTTGATGACTTGAGCACAAATCTCCATACATTTTCATGAGCTAGAAGCAGCGCTATCACGTCGATCTGTGAGGAAATAGCTGGCAGGTTTATGAAAATATAAATTGAAATTTTTTATGAGGAGCGCAGTAATTGAAATATGAAGCAATAAATGAAATATTTATTTTTCAACAGAAATATATCACTTTGATAAAGCTGTTATTGGTGTGGGCCGACTGTCATATTTGGACATTTTTTTCTGCATTTCTTTATAAAATGGAATTTGTGGATGTCCTTACAATAAAGCTTTATGGATCAACATAAAACACTGTTTACTGTCATGGGTAATGCTATTACATTTAAAGTCTTTGGTGGGGCACCAAATAACAGATAATGGAAAAAGAAAACAAACCCTTTAAAGTGATAGGAAGGGATTTTTTTATGTTAGTCCTGGTTTGGGGAGATAGAAGGAACAACGTGGTTTTTCTTACACTTATCTGTTCATGCAGATAGTTTCCCTTTCATTATTCCAGGCTTTGAGATATTTCTATTTTTCTGCTGTCCCAGCACAATGAGGGTAGATGTATATTGGGACTACAGAAAATGGTCCCCAATAATGCTCTACAATGGCCTTTCAAGAACCACTTCAGTTCAGCTATCTTATAAATGATTTACACTCACCACTTTACACTTTATTATAGTAATGGGTTGGACCCCATTTTTTAATTCAGATTTTCCTTAATTCTTTGTGACACAGATTCAACAAGGTAGTGGAAATTCTTCAGATATTGTGGTCCATGTTGACATGATAGCATTTCCTGTTCCACCACAAATGTTCTCTACTGGATTAAGATCTGGTGACTGTGGAGGCTATTTGAAAGTACAGTTGGTGCTCAAATAACACTAAAATGTTCCAAGAAAAAGTCCCCCAAACCATTACACACCAACAGACTGAACTATTGATATGAGGCAGGACAGAACCACACTTTCATGTGAGTCGACCAAAGACTGACTCTACCAGGAGAAGAAATTAAGACAATTTTTATAGTTTTCTGTTGTCCAGTTTTGGTGAGGTGTCTGTAGTTTCCGTTTTTTAACTGACAGGAGTGGTACCCGTAATTATGAGCACTGTTGAAGAGATGTATATAATAAAGTGGCCAGTGTCTGTAGAAAATTAGAAAATTAAATTTAATTAAACCTTATTAATATTTTATATATTGTTCTAAAACCTTCATATTTCTTGAACATGTCTTATTATATTTTGATTTTGATCCACAGTGCCTCTTACCTTATGGATCTATTTTATCTTGTTATATTATTGTATATTTTCTTTTACTAATCTTTTTGACATTATTTGCACTATTTTTAATAGTTGTGATTAATATCTGAAAATTTAGGATAAATAAACTGTATCTTATACAACTATAGTATTTTACTCAGATTGCATGCTTACCAAACACTTTGAGGAAGAGCTCTCTTTCCTGGGATCCTGCCTTATTGGTGGCTCTGCAGGAGTAGGTGCCTCCATCACCCTGCCGGATGTTGCGGATGGTTAACATGCTCCGCCCGCCATCAAGCCTGTTCAAAATGTACTGGTCCGATGGCTCCAGCTGCTGCCCTTTCCTGCACGAGTGAAAAGCAGAGGCACATAAGTAAGGAGTGGAAATATTTGGCAACTACCTCAAAACTGACACTGAACTCCTAAAATATGAATGCGTCAGTACACGTTTGATGTTACAGATGTATAATCTCTGTATTTTGGGTGTCAACCGATCCCATAAAAATCAGGCAAAGTGCAGACACCTCGGCTTTGAAACTATTTCTATCTATAGAAGGTAAACAGGTGAAAACATGACGGCACTTTTTATAGACACTATTTGAAGTGTGATGAAAGGATTGTTTTGGATAAACAGATCAGGCAATAATTGAAATAACAATTGCTCGATGAATAGTTTGTTGTATGTCATCAGAGTTGTGAAACTCTGCCATGCAGAAAAGTAACATCTTTATCGTGTCAGTTACAGGCCTGCCAGCACTCACTAGTGTTGCTGTGAATGTTTTCTTATGGACTGCAATGCTCACTAAATGACTCCGGTGTGGTGCGGAGATGCATTGCTGACTTAATGTCTTTTCTTACTGGGCTCTGTGGGGAAATTATCCAGAAAAATCAAACTGATAAATTGACGCATGTCTATATTTAAGCTTCATAACAAAATCATAATAGTCTGACGCATGTTAGCTGCCTCCTCCGCTTGTTTATTTGCAGCTAGTTAACCAGGCGTGTAGTCTAAAAGGTTCAAGGGATAGCTTTGTTTTTTTTGATTTAGACAACAGGTCCTTTTACAGCATTTGTAAGTCGCTAAAAATAAGATTAGCTTAGTTACTGAATTCATGTAGGATCAAGCAGCAATGGCACCCAAAACACGGGAAATACCTGTTTACATACATTTAATTTTGTAGCACACAAATTTAATTCTCTGATATGTAACCAGAATTTTCTTTTAAGATCTACTTTCCTATACTGCATATCAGCAAACTACAGACAGCTGAAGTTTGTGTTTAGTATGTGAATACCCAATACAGCCCAATACTTTACTTGTGAGCTTATGGATATTACAACAAAACAAACTTAGTATTGACCTGGGGGACACAACATGGGAAGATCGCTGATGTTGCTCTCCATGTCCTGGATTTGTAAATACGTACCTTTGGTAACATGGTAGCATTCTTACTATGAAAACTGATAATACTGTTGTGCTATTTATGAATATTAATAAATAAAAATGCCAAAAAAGGACAAATTTGGAAGGGACTCTTTAAAACTAACATATACAAACCAGTGTGTACAGTGCAGATTTAACTAGACTTTGTTTTGCATATTGCATTTCCTCAAATAAAATAACTGCAGCCAGTTAAAAGCTGTGTCTCTAATAATAATAAACACTTGGGAAGTGGTTGATGCAAACAAATTAAAGCCAGACAAAATGAATGTTTGTTCATGTCTGTGTCAGTTTAAGTAAACTGTGAGAACATGGGTGCAGCAGTTTCTGGGTTGCTCTCTGGCAAAAGTAAGATCTCTACAGAGATCCAAACTGATCTTTATTATGTGTGACTTACTGCGCTCTGCAGTTTTATCAGTACATGCATTAACTTTACCAAAGCAAATGGAAAGTTTTTTAGTGAAATATACTACTTATTAAAAAAAACCTTAAAAACAAATACAGGCCTGCCTTTGATCCAAGCCCTGGTTACTACTTCCTTCTGATAACTTGTGAAGACCCTTCTTCTGTCATAAAACAAAAAGTTATAAGATAAGATAAGATAAGATAACCTTTATTAGTCCCACACGTGGGAAATTTGTTTTGTCACAGCAACACAGCTTTTCTCTACTTTGTTGTTATAACTAAGCTTTATTGGAGCTTTTCTAGTACTTATATTTAATTTAAGCTCTATGAACGAACCCTAACAAGTAAGACGTTTATGTTCTGGGAGTTTTCATGTAGGATAGCATGTTTAAACTTGAACAAGAGTGCCACAGTCACCATTTTTTGCCCAATTTATGTATTAATTAAGTAAAAATTGGATTTCAGACAGTTCATTATCAATTGAAAAATGGCTCATTTACTGCAGGGTTTGCACTTAGTTTTTCTCCCCAATTCTCACTCAGTGAAATATTTAATCTGCCCAGGGGATCTGAAAGGCTTACATATAGTTTTATGTATCAGTGTGAATGTGAAGCAGAGCAGAAACAGATGAGATTCTCGAAATTAAAATCATTAAGGGTTTACATAAACGAACACAAAACAGATAAAGCTGATCTGATGTTTGCAAATGTGCTTCAGCATATTCAGTTGTGATTCATTATTAATCTGCCCCACTCGCAAATATAAAGAAAAGGTATGAAAAGAGATTAAAAAAAATAACATTTCGTTAAATATGGACAATAGCATCTTGTTTTTTTATTTTAAGTTATTTTATGTAATAAATTCAGAACAGATATATCTCAAGTCTTCAGTTCAGGCTGTTGTATTATTCACAGTGTATATTTTACTGTTCCACTAAAAAACTCTTATTTTTTTAGAGATTTCACATGAGGGGATTTGAAGACTCAGACACAAATAGACACGAGTGCAGTTATACTGCGTGGTGAGCTCAGCCTCATTGTACTGTAGGAAAAGCGAGAGGGAGGATAATTGAAAGTCGTCAGAGGAAACACCAAAGCCAAGTAATAATAACTCTGGTGAGCCAAAGAGGAAATGAAGAGAGGCCTCATCTTTGGAATGGACAGTGGAGGACGTGCTGCAGTGCTGAATGTCATTATACTGACTGACTGCTGACAGGTAGTCCATTACCCAAGATGCACAGAGGATGAGGTGAAACCTCGCTCTGACAGGAAATGCAACGGGAGAGCCTGGAATTAGTTAGGAGGGGTGGCATCAAAAGAAAAACTAAATTGGAATGTGATGCGTTGTTTATACCGAAGCCTTTGTTGTGATTTACGCATTTTAATTCTGTAGTCTGGGACTGACACACAGGACTTATTGACCTGGGAAATGAAACAGACTACACAGAAATGTTTGGCAGTCCATGGTCACTAAAAAAGTTCAAAATCTGCAGTCAGCTGAAATGAGACCTTGACAGGTGATTTATATTTTATTCAGTCAGCATTAAAAAAAATAGTACGTGAGCATTAGAGTGAAGTGGGAGCATGCAAGAGTACCCTTTCAAGTAAACCTCGCAGGATGGTATGCTGAAATAAAACATGCAGCACATTATGTACATTATGCAACTGACATCCACTGGGGTTTGGGTGTATTTTAGCTCCATGCTAAAGCACGTATGATATGTGTTATGGTTTTATGGTTTTTCTGTTATGCACTTTTTTCATTTCATGGTGCTAAAAGTGGCAAAACAATTCATAGAAAGAGGTGGATGTTGCTCCAATGTCACCATAAGCCTGTATCTAACCCCAAATGTTACGGAATCAGTCTATAACTGACTGTGCCTGGTCACTGATGACCTTGTACTGTGACACATCTCTTTGCAGTATGGAACTTGACCATGAACCTTTCTATCTATTCTATTTCTATATAAAACAAGGTTGTCAGGACAAAATGTTGTCCTGCAGCAACTATGTTAATATTTGTTTACTCATTTTTTAGTTTTGATTTTTGCCAGTTTATCTCAAATAATTGCCATTTTTCATATTGCCGATTGCAAGTAATTGCCAACTGGACTCCGTTTAGCTGCAGACTGATTCCTACTGATTCTTAGTGCTCTCTTGATGTACCAAAGTTGCTTTAAAGACAGCAACTGACTGCGAGTGGTCTTCAAAGGCAATGCGATCACAAGTTCGTTTCACAATGTCTTGTAAATATTTTTTCCAAGTATGACTGTGTCATAATAGGTTAAAAAGCACTCGCACAAAGTTAACATGCTAATTTAAATGGTGATGTTGAACTTGCAATTTTCATGCCTCTGATAAAGACTAAGGTGTCTAGGTCTGGCACAAGGTTGTGCCATTATCTACTTGTAGCAGGGTAGTGGCCAAGCCACATTACTACAGCTACACTCCATGAGACTAAAAGTGTCACAAAACCCCAAAATATGTCAAAATAGAATCTCAGTATGACCCACACTTTGAGAGCGAATGACATACTGCCAATGTGCAAGCCTAAGAACCACAGAGCAATGAAAATACATGTGCACAGCAGGTTTTAGTGCCTCAACCTGCTATGTTAGGACACAAAGTTACTCCAATCACATTACAGTAATCCAAAGCATTACTGTAAAAACAAATCAAGTAATCATATTAGCCAGTAATCCCTCACTTATCCCTTTCCGACACACTCACCCATTCAAACCTTCAACTGGTTCCGCAAGTTCTTCAATTATCTGCACGATGAGTACTCAGATAAAACAAAATCAAGGGTAATGTTTTTTCTGTGCATTTGGGCTACAATCAGCTGACTTCAGCTGATGTAGTAGGGGAAGAAAAATAGCAGAGCGGTGTCCAGCTTTCATTTTTCGCACAGTACTTTCGACAGCATGCTGTCAAAGTGAGCAGTGAAGAACTCAGACTGATGTCAGAGTATATGCTGACCCCAGCCAAGCATCTAAAGCTTCATTTTCAACAGGCAACAAAAGCAGTTACGGCACCTGTTCCTATCACAGAATCACTGTGGCCGTAACATTTTTCTTTGAAGTGCTGCATTTTAACTTTGCCCTCGGCTTTGTGTGAATTCTTAAACACTTACAAAAAGACCTTGTGTGTGTGTGTGTGTCCTCATTAGGATAGGCCAGGATGCCAGTGTGTGGAACAAGGCTCATATTGTTAAACGGCAATTGTGTGCCAATGCATCTCAGGTGGTTATGCGAAATAACACAAAATTAATGTGATGAGTGGTGTTTCTAATTAATTTCTACAGGTATAATTAAGTAACATAGCATTTTAACCTTTAAAAAGTCACGAGTTATGTGTAATGCATTACTTTTTGGTGTAATAACCCCGATCTGTTAATGCTCCTAACAAGAATCACTTTGCAAGATGAAAAATTAGGCTCAAGGATACCCAAGGTAGCGTAAGTGTAATGTCAAGGGGTTCTGAACAAGCATCCAAGTGTGACGAGCTGGGTGTCACCATTATGGTGACCCCTGGTATTCCAGCAGAAGCCAAAATACACCTTGGGCATATCTCTGAGAGACCAGCAGCTTTAAAAAAAAAACAAAACAAAAAAAAACCTGGAAGAATCTGAGCACTGGGAATGAAAACAGGCTGCCTTCTGACCTGAAACCGCAACACTTCAGAACGGGGGTATCAAATATAAGGCCCGGGGGCCAGAATCGGCCTACCAAAGCCTCCAATCTGACCCACTGGAAGGGTTTGGAAAATGTTATGGAGGGCATACATTTTAGACTTTTAGATGTGTTTTCATAAGTTTTACAGCTTCCTCCAGTCATACTGCACCAACGTAAATAATTAGATAAACCATTATGAATTTATTTGGAATTAACAGTCGCAATGAGCTAACAGAACTTTTTCTGTAATTTTACATGTGTATTTCTTACAATTTAAGCCCAAAGCAGCGTTTCATTATCATGTAGAAAAACTGAGATATATTGTTGAAATTACACTTCTTTTTTAAAATTAAAATATCTCAGGGATTAAATGTGTGATTAAACTTCTTTACGCTGACAGAAATAGGAGTTTCACTGGTCCGTCCCACTTAAGATCAAAGTGGGCTGTGCATGGCCCACAGTGTGAAACGAGTTTGACTTCTCTGCTGTAGAAGAACAAAGAATAAAGTCTCATTAGCTCTCGGTACTACGCTGAGTTTCTCTGAGACTTGGTTTAAACCTTTCTTGATCTTGCGAACATCAAATTTTGTGAATGGCACATCTGACCATGCAAGAGAATTTTATTAAGAAAAAGGTTTAGTCGCTTACTTCTGTGGTTATTTTTAATTGCCTCAGCACATCAGTGAGCACCATGTAAGAGTGAATGCTTCTGTATCTAAGCCTCTTTCATTCTGTGATACTATGAGAAACCTATCAAGATATCTTATTTCCCAGGCTCCTCATTTTAACGGGCTTATTGTGAAACAAAACTCACAACGTCAAACAAAACTCACTTTTACACTTAAAGCAAAACTGAGACTGAGGTCGTTAAGCTGTCACAGGGATTGTCTCAATATAAAAGTAAGGATGGAGATGTGCACTTTGCCATCTTCACACTGAAATATTCTGCAAAATATAACGCCAGCTGTTAAATCATTAAAATTACATTTCACTGTTGTGCTCCAGAGCTGAAAAGCCAAGGTAAGACACCCCGGAGTAAAAGTAATTCCTACTTTTTTGGAGCCCCAAAACAAGGGAGCAAGATGAATGAGGTTTACAAAGTTGAGGCTGCTTCCAGCTGTGCGTCACCTTTCAAATTTTGTTTGTACTTCACAAAGTGATGCATGTGCCTCATTTTTTTCTGCTGTATTCAACCTCTCTTTCAAACAGACAGTTCAGTTCTCATTACATCTGTATTACTCACAGAGATGATGTCACATGAAATGCAGGAGTGAAGAATTCACCTCGCTGTGCTTCATCTTCTGCAGAATTGTGCAGCGCTCCTGTGATGAAGGTAAGCGCTCTGAGAGGTATGTGACCTCTTTGTTAGGGTGATGAATAAAGGCATCTGTGTTTACCATTGATGCACATGCTCAGCATCGGTTTATGTGCTTTTATCTGCTGCGCAGCACTGACCAAGTTACTTAAAAGTACAATAATAATAATAACAGATCATAGGCCCACATCATAATTATGGACTATGAAAGCATTAATTAATGCCCTTTGCTACAGTTCAAATAATGCTCAGCTGATATATTAACAGAGAGCTAATATCAGCTGTAAATGAGTAATCCATGACTGGTTGCCCCTTCCTGAGTCTGGTTCTGCTGGACGTTACTACCTTCAAAAAGGCTAAAAAAAAACTACATACAGCAGATGAACAGTTTCCTTAAGAAACAGAAAAAATTCCAGCAAACACCTGACGCAGGATCTGAGAGATGTATCTGGCCCTTCAGTTGATCCATCTACTGTTCACTGAGGCCACATCAGAAATCATCTCAGTGGAAGGGCGGCTGTCAAGTCATTCTTAAGGAGAGAAAACAAGGATAAAAGGCTGAGATATGTACACAAGAACTGGACTGAAAATATGGAGCGATGAATCCAAATATTTTGAAATTTTTGGTTCAAATCATCATCAATGTGTATGTAGAAGGTCAGGAGAGAGGTACAACAGTGAGTGTCTATGACCATCTGTAATACACAGTGGAGGCTCTGTCTTGGTTTTAGTTGCATTTCAGTTATTTGTGTTGGAAATCTTGTCAAAATCCATAAAATTATGAACAGAGAAAAGGACCATTGATTGATTCACCATGCAATACCATCTAGAAAACATCTGATTGCCATTAGCTTCATTTTTCAGCATGACAATGATCCCAAACACACTGCCAATGCAGTAAAGCATACCTGGATAGAAAAACACACAATGAAGCACTATCAGTCATGGATTGGCCTCCCTAGAGCCAGAAACATCCAAAGGAGAGCTTTGAATGTCATTCAAGAAACCGGCAGAATTATTCCTGAAGACTACTTAAGGAAATGACAAGAAACCTGCCTAAAAGAGTTCAGACTGTGCTGAAGAACAGAGGTGGTCACACCAAAAGTGGAGCTTCAAGGATGTTAGAATTGCACAAACTCTGTTTTATACTTTATTTCCATGTATGTTTGCACAAATTTCAATAAATTGTTGCAGCTATTTCATTTTCCATTTGTACGTGGTAAATGGTGGAGCTCAAACTCTAGTGGGGAACCAAAATATCTTAATTTAAGACTAAACTAATATGTTGTTGAATTGTTGCCCTCTTTTTGCCCTTTAGAAACGTTGCCAAGCCCACAGTATTTATTTTACCAAATTAACTACAAAATATAGCAATTATGAGGAGCCATGAGGTCACTTGTAAGTCATGTTTGTTTGGATTGTTTATAACATTTATAAAGACATCATGTCTCAAGAGAAGATACTACAGGCTTATTTTCAGTTTATTATGTTTATTCTAGGATTCTATTAAAGTAGCTTTGCGTGATTTCAGAGTTCAAAATAACCCTCATTTATCTCAAACTGGGCCTTTAAGCCCCCTTAAATATAGAGATGGTTTAAACAGCAGGTGGGTAGGGTCAGATCTATAAGCCTGAGCTGACCACAGACCAGGCAGGGATATTCATTCTCAGTGACATCACACAGAGACAAAAACAGGCAAAAAAGAGCTTTGGTGATTACTTTTACATGCACGGACCTCATTACTTGAAACGTGTTTAATATGAGCATCCACAAATGAAAAACATAACAGGGCCCCCTTTTGAAAGCTGGACACAGTTCATTAAACTAAATTGTGTCAAATATGTTCAAACTACTCTTTCCAGTAAGTTCCAATAAGGAAAACTGGGGGAGGGGGGGACGACACCATTTTAAGTAGGGCTGAACGATATATCGCATTTGCGATAATATCGCGACATGATCAAGTGCAATTTTCTAACCGCAAAGGCTGCGATTATACTCTGGACATGTCCAAATTCATGGGTTGCATCCTCCTGAGGCCGCATTTGTAGACCGATTACGTCACAGCG